GCGCCGCCGGCGCGCCCGCTCCCGCCGGGGGCCTGCGGCCCGCCGGCGAAGCCGGCGCGGGGCGCGCGGACAGTCACGCCGCCGATGACAAGGAATCCGCCGCCGCCACCGTCGCTGCTGCCGTCACTGTTGTCATCCCAGTGCGCGGCGCGCGGCCCGTTCTGATGGTCGGTGAGGCGCAAGTGAGTCATGTCAGAGCAGCGCGGCGTTCGTGCTGCCTTCCCCTGCGGTTGAGCGACGAGCAGCATCGCAAGGCGCTGGGCCCGAGCGACGCACCGCACGCACGCTGCTTGCGCTTTTACGGCTTTGCGCCAGGCGCACCTGTGGGTCTTGGAGCGTGCCCGCCTGCCGAAACATGGCACCCAATGGCTTCGCGCGCCGCTTGCCCATCGCTGCCGAGCGCTGCGCTCCGCTAGCACTGCGCTCTGCTGAAGCAGCACGCGCGGCTTGCGCTCACAAGCTCTACGTGGGTACTCAGGCGTCGCAGCGCATTACAGCTGTGCGAAATATGGATTGCTCGCCTTCTACCAGATCTAGCACGCAATTACACGTACTGATGCGCCCACGTATGCAAACAGTGCACAAGTAAAGCAAGCTGCGATGTATACTTGGAATACGGTATTCGGCTGCTGAGCCCGTGTGGGGCACCCACCTCAGCATGTCACTCCATGTAATACACACCCCTGCCGACGCCGCGCACTTCAGGGGGCTGCATCAGCCCGTGGACGCGCACACACAGCTGCGTGTCAGGCTGCTGCCAGGCGTTCCAACCTAGGATTGTGCTAATGTGTACCCCACAGACTTCTCTAGTACACATGTGGCAGAGTGAGGCTTTAGCGCCCTGCGCGTGCTTCGTTGCAGTTGGCCCACCCGCCAACTGCATGCTTCCTTTGTCGAGTTTACACAGGCGACGCATCCTGAATTAAAAAGCCTTATTACCGAAATTTTGCTCTGGAATGCAAGCTGTACACAGCAAGAGGAGGGGTTGGGGCGGGGCCGGCGAGCCAAACAGAGGGCTCGGCTCGCCATGCGCCTGCAAACGAGATTCAGCGGCGCGCGGCCGCGCGGCAGGAGACAACCCCTGGCTCGGCAACGCGAGAGCGCCGGGCCCACGCGCTGCACCAGGTCCACTCGGTATAAAGGCCGGCCGCACGGCTCCCGCCGTCGTCATTCACGGCCGAGCGGCGCCCGCCGGCCCCGCAGAGGCGGCCGGCCGGCACGGCGCGTCATGCACGTCAAGGATTATGTCATGCTCCTGATCACAGGGTACCCTGCAGGCCGGAGCCGGTGCCCTCCTGCCAGCTCTTGAAGTAGGGGCGGCCGCGGCGCTCACGCACCACCAGGAACGCGATGAGGGCGACGGCGGCGATGGCGATCACGCCGGCGACGACGATGAGGGCGATGGCGTAGGTGGGCAGCGTCTTGCGGGGGATGAGGTCGGCAAAGGGGTCCCTGCGGGGCCGCGGCAAAGCGGGGTGTGAGTCCAGGGGCGTGGTGAGGGTTTTGGGGGACACAGCGGTCAGCCGTGGAAATGTGACGAGGACTTTGTAGAGTCAGTGGGTGTCCGGGTTGCGAGCCGCCCAACACTCCCCACACAGCCACGAGCGTCTGATGCTGCGTCACAGCAGCTGCGGACAACGGTCACTAGTGCACACGCCCGGCTCCTATCACATCCAGCTGCATTGCGTGGCCCCCCACCTCTCGTTGTTCTGGCAGTGGATGCCGAAGAAGCCGGCGGGGCACTGGCAGGTGTTGCCCTCGTCCTTGCACTGCCCGTTGTTCATGCTGCGCGCCAGTGGGTGCGTTGTGAAGGAGTCACGGTGCTCATCACGACTACATACGCACATCACACAAGTCGTGAGTCAATCCCAGTCATGTGCTTGCTTTGTTTTACGAACACCACACTAGCACACAGTCGGCAAGGAAGAAGTTGGAACTGCCTTGATCACAGCTCCAGCCCTCTCCGACGCCTAGGGAGGAAAGCCGTCATCCAGCAGCCCACATCCGTCACCCCTGCGCCAGCCCAGCAACCTCTGCTCACCAGAACATGCCCTCCTTGCACTCGTTCACGCCCAGCTGGCACTGGCGGCCGCGCAGGTTGGGCGGGCACTTGCAGAACCAGTCGTTCACGGTCTCATCCAGCAGACACTGGCCGCCGTTCATGCAGGCCAAGGTGCTGTTGCCGCACGATATGTGGGGGACCTTGCAGGTTGAGCCGGCCCAGCCCTCTGCAGCAAGGGCGTGCGAAGGGGGCCGCGTCAGCACCGCGTGATACTCGAACACAGCGAACGCCTGGGAAAACAGTTGCTGCGGTGCCACTGGGTTGCGCATCCTCTCTCCGCATCAGCAGCCCACGCAGATCGCAGCTGTGGCGCCAACGGCCCCGCTCGGCCTCGCAACGCCGGGCCGGGCCTGCATTGGACGATGCAGCCCCTGTGCGTCCACTCACTGGCGCAGGCGCAGGTCTCCTGGTCAGGCTTGCTGGGGTCCTGCACACACGTCGCGCCATTGTAGCACACCAGGCCTGGTGGGTCAGGGTGTGCGAGAGCGGGCGCGCCAAGGCTCTAAAGAGTGCAGAGGTTTGGGCGGTGTGCCGTAGACAGCGACTGGGCTTGCAAAGCACACATGCTCAGCAGCATCTTCTGCTGCCGCCCAACTGTGGCTCTGGCGGCGCAGCGCCCCGCTCGGTGCTTTCCAGTGGGGCGCAATTCAAAAAGTGCGCCTGGCGCAGGGCATTCCGCGGCCACGCCGTCTTCGCCGTTGTCCTGCGCTGCTCACCCTTCTTGCACTCTGCGAAGTGGGGTGCGGAGGGTTGCCGCGCATCAGTAGGGAGGATGGGCTAGGTTGGCGGCCAGATTCCCGGTCGCGCCGATGTGGCTTGCGCGAACTGTGAACACACACTGCTGGCCCCCGTGGCCTGCCCGGCAAACGGCTGCGAGCTGAGAAAGCCGCGCCACTCACCTTTGTAGACTGCCGTGCAGGTCTCACCCCAGAATCTGCAATATGGGTTTGTTGCGTCATTGCTTTGTCGCGGGCGGGCGGCTGTGCCAGTCGCAAGCACCCGCGGTATGCACAACAGCGTGGTATCAAAGCAGCCGATGGTGCTGCTCCTGACGCCAGCGGCATGCACCGGCCAAGTCGTGCGGCGCAGCCCGCGTCGTAAAAACTAACCCGGGCTTGCACTTGCAAAACGCGATGTCGTCGTTCTGCGCGCGGCGAGCAAGGGGCACAGTGTCAACAAGCAGGCGACCGCCTGGCTGCGCGCGTGTCCAACCTTGTCGGGTAGGGGTGCTCCTGCTGCTTCTTTAATGCAATAATCGGCTTTTGACGTTCGTTCTATGTCCGAAACGGTGGGTACCCGCTCATCACAGCGCCAGCAGGGGGTAGAAGCGGATGCATGCCAGGCGCGGGACCAAATCAAGCCATCATAAGGCGCTGATTTATAATTGAGGCCTGGTAGAATCCATTTCGAGTCTCGCTGCAGGCACATGGGCCGCCTTTCTGCACAACTCGACGCGAGAGTGCAGGTCCCGCGCACCTGGGTGCACTCGCCGTTGGCGCTACACTTGGGCTCGCATCTCTGAGCCATTGTGATACCCAGGCACATGGCCAGGGCGAGGAGGACGGCGACGCGCCTCATCTTCGCTGCTCGCAGGCGGAGTGTTGGGGCAACTGGCGTCTACTGGCTATTTAGAAGATAACAAAGAGTTTATTACAATAAAACATAATATTGAACGACGCCTCCAAGTAAATTGAAGGTCAGATTTGCAACCGGCTGCGCAGGAGGTGCGCGCCGGATTCGCGAGCCTGACTGCGCCCCGCCTCTCTTGGATCTGCAGCCATTCTAAGTCGATGAAATACATAAAATATATTTCTTATCTTGCAATTGGACTGACGGTGACCACCAGCGCCGCCCGCTGTGCGTGCGTCCATCCACCCTTGCCGACAACCGTACCTGACTGGTCAGTGTACCGCATCCACCAAATAGGCACATGGGTGATGGTGTGACTCGGTTTCATTTATGCAGATCAGCTCGCACTACGAATCAATCTCGCCCAAGAGCCCCTTGCGCCCTTACACATAGCAAGGTCAGCGCCCGCCCGGGGTTTGGGATAGCGGCAGCTGGCTCCAACAGCAACACAAGGGCACACGGATGGACAGAAGGATATCAGTGCTATAATCTGACTCTTAAACCATTTGTTTGCTCGACCTGGAAGTGGTGGGCCGCCAACTGCCAGCGGCGCGCAGGTGCAGCGGCTCGCCTCGCTCACAGCTGCAGACGACCCTGCCTCGTCCGCGGCGCGCAGCTCTCTGAGGTGCCTTACTGTGAAACGCGCACATGACATCAAGTCCCGATCAAAAGCAATTGCCCCGGTAAGAAGGACCAGGGAACCTGCAGCCATCTGTGGTGACCAACTTTGCCTCGCTCGCCTCGCAATCGGGTTGGTTGCCAGCTGGACACCACAGCACAACCGGATGCCGCTGCCACGCATCGATGCTGTGGATCACATCCCGTGCAAGTAGGTGCTGCGTGTTGCATTGCACATGATTACAAGGGCACAGTGATGAGCGCGTGTATGTTCTCAAAACGGGGCACTGCCACGCGGGCTGGTCAAGTTGCAGAATAAGTTTGGGTACTTGTAGCGGTTGGGATCAGGGGGTTCATGCTCTAAGCTATACCTCTCCGCGATATTCACGGTGTCAACGTGGTGCTGCAAGCACCAACAGCAGTACTGCAGTGCTGCCACCACCTGCTGCTGCAATTTTCAGCACTGCGCAAGAGGCCCTTTTCAGGTGCCCCGACAAAGCTGCCCTGGCCTCCTCGTCAGCAGGGCTGCTCAAAGGGCGCCGCGCCCTCAGCAGGAGTCTTTGGTTGCGTAGGCGACGTCACATGCCGGCCTGGTCCCGTCAGGGGCCGTCGGCACGCCGACCACGTCCCAGGCCGCCTTGACGGCCGTCACCTCCGGAGAGTCATCCCCGTGCAGGTCTGCGGCCGCTCGAATGGTGGCCACGCGCGCCTCAAAGTAGTCGCTGACAGGGGTGAAGTACTGGCAGGGGTGCGTGGGGCAAAGCAACGGGACGTTGAAGGAGTGGGGCGCAAACATGGAATGGATGGGGCTGTGGAGCGAGAATTTCAGGCACAACTAAAAAACTCTCAGAGGAAGGTAAGCAACGCAACTGGTGGTGAATTTGCGGCCCAGGCGGGGGTATGTATAACCGGGACATCAGTAGGGTAGCAGCAGCAGCAGCTGCTGCTGCTGCTGCGGGCAGGCTGCTGCGACAACAAACAGTGGTGACGGCGGCGGGTTTTTGCACCTGTGTGAGAGCCCGGTACACAATATTGCAGGATGTTGCAATACCTGCAAAGGGGGCAGCACAGGCATGGCACAACAAGCGCAGGGGTGGTCAGGGTGGCGTAAAAATCCGCTTCCACCCGCCATCAGTGATATCACTGCACTTGTGTGGGGGCGCCGGCACCGTGCAGGGCGTGCGCCTAACAGGTTACGTCGCCTCCGCTCTTGCCTTCACCCCTTTACCCCCGCCGCATCGTTTTGTCAAGCCACGGGCTCAGGACCTGCTGATGCTGGTGCTTTTGCAAGTGTGCACGACTTCAGATCACCTATTGACGCGGGCTTGTCCGCCTTTGGGCACTTGTTGAATCCAGAGGCGAGCAGATAAAACCACCTGTTTGCGACGCCACTGCTCCAGTGGACATCAACCTGTAAGACGCACGTACGGTGTATGGCGCCGTTGACGCAGTGGTGAGACGGGGAAGGCGACGAGCATCAATATGACATCGCTTGCTGACGCATGCCGGTGATCGTCATCAGGCAGAATTCACGAGGGGGATCCAGCAGCACGGGCGCAGCCCCTTGGCCATAGCTAGCAACAATCTGGGTCTGCCATGACCATGCATTCACACACGCACAAACAATTGCACATGGACTCTGAAAACGCTCATGCACGCACAATGCTACATGCGTACGCACGTGCACTCACACACACACACACACACACACATGCGCACGCAAATAAGCAGGAGTGCGCGCGTGCGCATGCACACACACACACACACACTCACTCACACTCAAGCGCGCGAGTACACCAAACAAGCCAACGCACCTCGCAAAAGTTGTTTGGCGAAGCAAACGGCTGAAAATTTGCAGGAAACCTGGACACTGGGACGTTTCGAATCTAGGAGGGCAAGAGCAGTGATTGAGAGTTATGCAGCCCAGCCACAGCCGGGGCCAAGTAGTACTGGGAGGATGGCCGTACGCGGCCACCAGGACTGCTCATCAGCCGCCGATGGGCCGATCAGCAGGGGCCCTGGCGCTACTTGCGGCTTTGACACCTAAATCCTAAATACGTCGGCGGGAGCGCACAGCAGCTGGTGCCAGCAGTCCGTTGGGGAGGCGCACGCCTCAGCGAGTGCGTGGGCCGCGCGAGTACCCCAGCCCGCGGCAAGAGGGGGCGCACCCTTTGATCAATGCTTGGGTCCCAGCAGCCAAACGATAGCCCTCCGTCTGCTGGGGGGTTGATCATGCTCCTCGTAAACGGTATGGAGCAGCTCTTGTTTGGAAATAGCTCGCCCCCTATGATGAAGTTGGAGCCGCGGGGGTAGAGCCCCTGGCCCTGCGCCCAGTCGACGACACACTGCGCAAATATGTCTGTATGGCGGGCGCCAGTCCCGGCGTTGCAGCACGGTGCGTGTGGAAGGTGTGGGGTTTGAGCTTCAGAGGGGGCCACAACACAAAAGCGGGGGCCACGACAGGGCAGCATCGTGCCTGGCGCAAACTACTCAAACCGGAGCCTCCCGTCGCGCAGCTGCAGCATGGGAGTGGTTGTGTCGCCAACGCAGAGGCTGGTAGACGGGCCACTGACGCACCGCCACGATGATTGACGCCCGACGCACCTGAAACCGCCTCGTTCAGGCCCCCGAAGGAGTTGAGGTAAGCCAGCTTCGCGGAGAAACTGGAAGGAACAAAAGGGGTCAGGAGTGTGGTCAGGGAGGAGAATCAAGGTGGGCAGTGAACATGACCTCCTGACGCACCGGCCGCGCACGCCGGCGGCGCGGGCTCGGCATCGTTGCGCAAACGAAGGTCAGGGGCTGTGCTGAAACCTGCCTCCCAGGCCAGGGCCGCACAGCTTGACAGCATTGGCTGGCATACGACGCGACACTCAGTACAGCTTAAGAGTGGCATCAACACACTCGAGACGTGGGGGCTAGGGAGGGGCATCGGCCTGCAAAGAAGGCCGGCTCACTCGGTGACGCCGTGGGTGACCTCGTGTGCCGCAATCTCCAGCGGCGTGAGTGGCATGAGCCCGTCGCATTCGTTCACGTTGGTACGGCTGCGGGGCATGATGAGGGCAGACGTGATGGAAATGTCGATGAGACGCCGCCGCATGAGGTGCTGAACTTGTGTGCCTCGTTCTGCCTGCACTGCCACGCAACCATCACACCAGTGCTGCATTCCTCTGCGTCTCAGTGCTTGCCTGCCATCTCCGAAGAACATATTGCCTCCTGCAGGCGAGGAGGTAGTAGGCAGAGGGACGGTGCTGGTCAGCGGTTGTTGCATGGGACGCAGCCGCCCTTGCACAAAAAAACCGCCAATTGGTAACGCAGCCGTGCTGGTTACACCTTCACCCTACTCAAAAGCGTTCGGTCTCAAACACCCACCACTGTAGAAAGCGTTGTCCAGGGCATCACCCAAGTGGACAAACGTGTTGATTGGCGTATTCCTGTTGTCCAGGCCCTTGCGCCCATGGACCTGCAAAAAGTACCTGTAGGTCTGCAGATGTGGGGGGTGCACATGTTCAACTTTGAGGATGCGCGCATCAACCATCATCAATTCCTGTTATGTGATTGACTTCAGTAGGGAAACCTGTAAGGTTGGTTTCGTGTGTAACAAAACGTTCAACAAAAATAGTAGAATGCAGCACTCGTCATCAGACATGGACTGGCGCAGAACTAGAAGGTGTCCAATCGGGAAGCGGCAAAATTGCAAGCTCAGTTGGAAGGGGCCAGGGAGCTGACGGCACAGCAAGGCACGTGTGCGGACGTTTGGGGCGGGCGGCGCTCACCAGACCGACTCCATAGTGGGCGTCGACTGCGGCTGTCTGCCTCTCCTCTCTGGTGTTGGCGAGCGTGGTGCCAGTGCCCCTTTGTGCGGATTTCAGAGGGCAGAGCGCGCAGGCGTGGCGCAGCAGGAGGGCCGCCGGGTTAGGCAGGGTTTGGTCCAACCAAGCCAAGTTGGCTGCGATCGATGACAGCGACTTTAATTTGACTGGTGCCAGCGGCCGAGGCTAAGCAAGGTGGCCTGGCACGTGGGCCGGCTTATTTGCTTGATCAGTTTGGCAGCATCTTTTGCGCGCTTGGCCTGCGCTGGTGGTTCAGCCGCCCTCTCCCCTTCCCCACCAGGTGTTGTCGGCGTTGCGAAATAGCGTGGCTGCAGCGAAGAAATCTGGATTATTGGTGTTGTCAGGGTTGTTGTTCCAGTCAAAAGTCTGGCCCTTCTTATTGAACTGGAGTGCATATGGTTGCGCATGCAGAGCCGGCAGCAATGTGATGAAAGGTGGGCATTGATGGTTGCGTCCATGGGGGAGAGACAGATCAAAGCAGAAAAGCACAGGCTTGCCATGCATGAGTGCGGATGCGATCTGATGGGCGGGCAGCATATCCAGGGTAGCTGATGGCTCAGGGCGGCAGTAGCACAACTCTCGGCCAGTTTTGTCTCTTGCAGTGTGCCCGACCGCCCCGCTGCCCGCGAACTGATTGGGCAAGCACTCTGACCCCAAGCCCCCACCTTAAGGTTTGTAAGCTCGTACTGGCCGCCCGCGGCGTTCTTGGACCCCTTGCCGGTGGGCAGGGACACCTGGCCTGCGTAGAGGCTGTTGCCGACGCCGACCGCCGCGGAGACGGTCCTGAGGTTGTCCCTGATGAGGCGCAGGTCGCCGGTGAACGCGTCGATGGATACGTCGAGGGAGCGCGGCTGCGAATTCCCGCCCGGCGGGATGAAGAAGTTCTGCACCCACACCGGGCCGCAGCTGGGTGTCGTATCCGACTCTGATACGAAGCAGCTGACCATCCATTTGCCGCCCAACTTGACGGCGCCGGCGCTGGCGCTGGGACCTGCGCTGCCGCCGCTGGCGGCGTCCGAGGCAGGACTCAGGCCTGACGCGTCTCCGGCGGCGGCGGCGCGGAGCGCGGCGGCAACAGCCGGGGGCGCGTCCGGCGCGGCGGCGAGTGCGGCGCCGGCAGCGGAAGCTGAGGCGAAACTGGGAGATATGAGGCTGCTCGGCGCCGCTGCGATGGGCGCAAACAGGCTGGGGATGTATCCGCCTAGCGAGCGGGGGGGTCAGCATATGTGAGAGCAACTGGTGAGAATGGATGAAACACACAGCACACAGCAGGCAGGACCTTGAAGTCACGGCCTTTGCGAGGGGTGTTGTGCTCAGTAGCTTCACCAGCCAGACTAGAAGGCGGGGCAGTGCAACCACGCGCATCGACACGTCTAGGCCCGCGCGGATGCCATCGTCTCAGGTGATTTGCCAACAGGCTGCTGGCTATCCCGCAAACCGCAAACGCATGCGCTCGACATGCTGCGCACCCGTCACCGCGAGGACTGTGTTCTTATCCAGGTGCACAAAAATGTAGCCAAACTCGACTTGGAGAGCGCCGAAATCTTGGTTGGGGTTAAAACTGCTGATCCAGCTCTGCACCTGCTCAATTCGAACGTGCCTGACCTTTACCGATTTCTTGCCAACTTTGAAGGTGTCTGCGCGGACGGTGATGGGCGGGTTTGCATGCAGGGGATGGGCAAACCCAGACTTGGGCAGAGTAAAAGGGCAGGGCCAAGCACGTGCATGGCTTCGTTGCGTTGTGGTGAAGTGCAAGGCCAGGCCGCAGCTGCGCCGGCGCGCTCGGTTGCGAAGGACAGGCCAGCTGCCGGCCCAAGTGGAAGGAGGTTTGTGCTGCGTGTGGCAACCGAAACGCCCCGCGCCGCACATACCTGTGTAATCGCCATACTTTGTCGGCTTCGCCACCCGAAAGTATTCGGCCGGGACGTTGAAGTGGCTGGACACCCAGGCCAGGACCTCCTTGGTCGACGGGTTGTAAGATGCGGGTTTGCCGGCGCGCAGGGTCGCGGGCGCGGTCAGTGTCGCCCGTGTGATGATGCTGGTGTTGGCGGGGATGCTCCTGCTGTAGGCGTAGCATAACAGGCTGCCGCAGCCAGTGCAGTTGAGGCGAAGGTCGGCGAAAGGTGACGGCAGCGCGGCCTGGACGGCGCCGCTCGCGCCAGCGGCCCGCGCGGGCGCGGCGCCGCTGGGGCTTGTACGCCTCGCGGCCATCGGGACATAGGCCTGCACCAAGCAAGGGGTGCGGGAGGGGGGGGGCGACCATGGATGGGTGAATAGGTGGGTGGCAGTGGCACGGCAGCGACTGGGGTGTGCGGCTAGCCTCTGCGCGGCTGGACCATGGTTGGCCAGTCAACGCTGCGCAGCGTTGCCACCTCCCCGCTGTCATGGCCCGCGCTTGTCGAGCTGTGCTGCTCGGGGGCTGTCCGTACTGCTCCTGTTCAACGCGTCACTTTTCACGAAAGCCGATGTCTCAGTATGCGTGGTTGTGGCCCCCAGGCTGACCATGCAAGCCATACTCAGGGATGGGCGACAGCCACCACCGGCACTTGCTCCAGCAAGCCTCCTTCAGCCATGCACCTGAGCGCCTGCCAAGACCAGCATTATCAGGAAGCTTCTGCCGACCATTCTTGTCGAGTGCGTTCCCCTGCTGCGAAGTTTACCGACTTGAAAGGTTCACAGATAATATCAGTATCCAGGCATCACAGCAAGAGATGTCAACTTCCGTGGATAGTGACATAGTTTTTGGCATCAATTCAATCATGGATTCTTTTTTCGTACGTCGCGTCGAGTTTGAAGTTGGACACGGAGCGGCTAGGTGGCACCTGGACCGTGCTGATGGACAGCCGCAATCTTAAGGGTGTGTTGGGGGCAGAAGATCCAACGTATTGATTCACACAGTTGGAGATCGTGGAAGTGGCATCCCAACAAAGGGTGTCACTGTGGCTGCGGAGTGACATGAATTACTCACGTCTCTTTGAGGAAGCGACAAGCGTGTTGGTTAGTTTTTGATATTAATGAGGTGAAAGGTCAAGAGAGTAGCGGGGTAAAGAAGTCGCTGTACAACCAAGCAGTGGATCTCGCGGCCAGCCCCAAGTTGCTGCTAAGCAGCGCTGTGCAGGTGCAGCACGATCAAGGCAGTGGACGCGCCCGCAGAAGCGGTGTGTGTGTGTGTGTGTGGGGGGGGGATGTGCGCGCGCGCGTGCGTGCCGAGACCACGCCAACCACGTACACCCACATCAATAAGCGAACACCTCTAAGATATGTATGTTTCTTCTTCATAGCGGCAAAGTGCACTTGGGAGCACCAGGATGCAATGTGGCGCGCACACCAATACATTGCGTGTGATCACACTGGATGTGTTCGCATGCGCTTTCATTCCCGTGGGGACCTTGGCTTCGCAGCACAGCATTGTGGAGAGGCCGAATGCGTTGGCAGCTAGCAGCGCATGCTCATGCCACGCGAAATCGACCCCCATAACTGCACGGTTACGCGGACTTGGGCACTCCAAGCGGTGGAGGGCCGCCGGCGTGACTTCCGCGTCGCAAGCAACCTGCTCAACAGCCACGAGAGTGAAATTGACAAGTGCTCGCACCAACTAAGGCAGCCCCTGCCAACCAGCGGGGAGGATTCCAATGGTTGCAAACGCCCTGGATGGCCCGGCGAACGCTGCGCACTGGCACCCCCGATGCACGACAGCGCCGCTTGCAGGGATTCCTGCAGGACGGAAGCGTCCGTGCTCAGCAGGCGGCAGCGGTCGTCGGCGCGAGGGCTACATTACACGCCGCGTATCAGTGCCACCTGTCACCGCAGGGCTGTAAAGCTGCAAGCCTAAGGAGCCTTATGTGACAGCCGTGGCTGAAAACCGTTTGAAACAGGATTCAGGGACTCAAAGACAGACTGGCTGCTCGAAGGATACGCGACGCCAGCAGCGGGCAGGCCAATCTAGCAGTGGGCGTAAACGGCCGCCGCCGGCGTCTCGGCGTCGGTGTTGCGCAGCGCGGCGTTGTCGCCCCTGCTGCTGCAAGACCTGATGAGCGAGTGCGCAGCCCTGGGCCGGGGTGGTCAGGTTGGGCTGGGGCCAGCTGGGGGCAGGCACGCGGAGCGCCTCATGATTGAGCCAGGGCGCCGCGCTTCCATGCGCAAGGCAAGGCGAGTTGAGTCGAGTCAAGTACTGCCCCGAGAGGTGCATTTGCATGTGCGGGCGTAGAGGCGCGTCTGAGTGGTGTCTGTAGCGCACACTGCAGGGGCTTGCGTGCCGCTCGCGCAGCACGCCGCAAGGTCGCGCCAGCGGGGTGGGCCTGGCATGGCTGTCAATGGACGGCGTTTGTTCATGATCGCGGGGGGCCTGAACTTAGCGCTGTGCTACCACAGTGCTGGACAACTGGCCAAGTCAGCACTGCAGCCACTTGGCATGTAATCGGCCTGCCATGCAATCTTTTCATAATAACCAACCAAGCACGGGCGATGGGATACATTGTACAATTACACAAGGCAGCTCATCCTGCACGCCTGCCCATTGCACGCACGCACGTCACAGAGCCGCCTGCGCGCCTGCGCCAGGAGTCTGCTGGGCATCAGGTGCCACTGTGCGCGACAGCACCCTCCGATTGGGACGGAGCGGCGGCGCCACAGCATACTGCTCTGTTGCGAGCCGCGCATTCAACAGCGCAAAGGCGCCACGAAACGTCGCGGCGAGCGCGTCTCGGCGGCGTCAGGCGCGCTCGAACACGGCGAGAGTCTCCAAGCTGTCTGTACCCGGGAAGAAAGTAAACGCCTCCGCGCCGGCCACGCGCCACCCGCCGGCGACCAGCGCCGCCGCGTCGCGCTCGAGGGCCGCGTAACCACAAGACAGATACACCAGGCGGGTCGGCTGGGACGCCGCCGCCGCCGCCGCAGCCGCCGCCCCTGCCTGGTGGTCGCTGCCGCGTCTGCCGTCAGTGCTTCCTACATACCCCGTGGGTCCAGCAACACCCTGTGCTGCGCTGCGGCTGCTGCTGCTGCTGCCGCTGCTGCAAGGGGCCGGGTTGGCGGCCTGCTCCGCCTGAGTTGTGCCCAGCGGCTGCAGCAGCGCCTCCAGCAGCGCCCGATCCAGGCCCTTCCTGCAGGAATTGGTGAGCGCTTTGCAGTCAACGTATACATATTACGCAGTCATTCGCAAAGCGCACGCAAGATGTACAGTGATTTATGTGCACAGGCCAACCCAGTGCCACACAGCAATGTTGCACGCCGCGCTCAAGCACCCACAGTTAGCTCTGTTTGCACGTATCAGTGACAAAACCAGGCAGGGCGTACACACGGACATCGCTTGTACACAAGCCCGATAGTGGCGTCCACATCAGCCACCAACCTGGGAGGGTCTACCACGACGGTATCGGCACCCGCCAGCCACTCAGCCGGGGAGTCGCCCGCGGACGCCGTCACCAGCCTGACACGCGCCGCGACCGCCTGGGCAAATTCAGGCAAATGGCACCGCTGTTGTTGCAAGCAAAGCTGTATGCGTGTGCAGATCGGTGGGCGTTGCATACGTACATGCTAGTGACCGCGATTGCAGAGGCGCTCCACAAACAGATTCAAAGTGCATGAGCAAGCCGGGCCCTCACCTCTGGCAACGCAGCCTTGGCAGCGTCGAAGGGGCCCCTGTGCGCACCAATGCGGTGTGAATCGCGTCATCGACTTTGACCGTTTGAGCCAAAAGGGTGGGGGCCCATTGCCCATGCCGGACCCAAGGCACCCTGTCACCCCCCGCCCTGGCACCCCAAACCCCTGCATGCCGGCGTCCCCAGCGGCAGCCCCAGCGACGCCGCCGCCCCAGCAGCGCCGTGCGCACGCACCTGCAGGCGGGGTTGAGCTCGACGCACGTGACTCGCGCCGCGCGGCCGCGCGCCGCGAGGGCGAGCCCGATGGCGCCGCTGCCCGCGTAGAGCTCGGCAACGACCGCGCCGGGGCGCACCGCGGCGCAGATCGCGTCGAGGGCCGACTGCATAGCGCCAAAGTTGGCCTGCGGGGCGTCACGACTTCTGAAGGCCGACATCCTGGTAAGCAAGCCGCTGGCACCAGCCCCGGTCGTGGCGCGGGCAGGTTGACATTGCCAAAGCGGCCAAGGCGCCCCGCCAGCCACCCTCAAAGATGCAACGGCCCTGCGAACCAACTCTCGCAAGCAGATCGCACAACTGCAGGGCCAAAACCGCGCTACACAGCAGACGAGCGGCGCGCCGCACCTGCACAAAGCCCGCTGGCCCCACTGCAGCTGCCGCGCCCCCAAAGTCCTGCCAGCCGTACGCGGGCCCCTCTACCCGCTCCCACTCCCGCCCGAATATCGTGTTGCCGCCGTCCGGTTGGTAGTTGAACCATATCGAGTGCAGCAGGCCCGAACGCTGCCGCTGCTGCTGCTGCTGCTGTTGCTGCTGCTGCTGCTGCTGCTGCTGCTGCTGCTGCTGCTGCTGCTGCTGAAGCTGATTCTGCCGCTGGCGCAGCCGCTGGGTCGGCGCCGCGCCGCCTGACGCCCGAAGCTTTAGGACGGCCCCTGCGGCCAATGGCATCGCTGCAGCCCCGCTGCCCCCTGCCGCCGCCGCCGCCGCAACCGCCGCGGCTGTCACACCAGAGGGCTGGCTCCCCCCAGCCGCCGCCCCGGCTGCCGGCGGGACGCCCCGCGGGCCCGCCAGCGCCCAAAGCGTGGCCGCCAGCGCGCGGCAGGCGGCCGCCTGTGGGTGGTCGGGGCCTGCCGCGTTCCAGACGAGGGCCAGCTGCGCGTGGGAAGCGGCAGGCGTTGCCCACAGGCGCTGCTGAGTTGATAGGATAGCTCCGACCCCACAGGAGATACATGCAAGCAAAAAGGCGGTTGGGCGTGCGCAGTGCGGCGAAAGCATCTGGCTATATGTGGCTTGGCTGCCGGGAGTTGGTTGGCCGCCCAAGCGCCTTCTGTTTCTGATCTGGCATTGCCTCACCCAAACCTCCGCTGATCAAGCCCGCAAGAGTCCAGTCCCAAGAACAGCATGCAGCGCCGGCGCTGGCGTCACCACAGCTGGTGCTGACTCAGCCCTTCACCTGGATCTGCGCCTCCCCGTCGTCCTCCGCCCGCCCGCCGGGACGGCTTGGCAGCGCCGTCAGCTGGCAATAGCGCAGCAGCCCGGACTGCGTCGCCTCATCATACGGCGGCACGCGCGACATAGCGAGCGCGCGGCGCAGCAGCGCGGCGGCGGCGTTGATGCGTGGGTGGTGGGTCCTGCAGCGCGCGGGGGATGCAGCCGGTCCCTGGGATTTTAGCATCAGCCTGAGCGTGAGCTGGCTAGCTTGCAGGGGCTGCAGCCACGCATTGGGGGTGGCAGGTGGCCTACCAGCTGCAGCGGCACCAAGACACTATCCGCAAGCAGCACCACCCGCGGGCGGGCTTTGCCATAGCCACGCAGTTTGACGGGCGAGTGTCTGCCGTGTCGCAAACGTGCATTGGAGCACGAGGCGCGGGGCGCCGCACCCCCAGGCTGGTTTTCGGCGTTCTCGCAAGGCCTCCTCACCTGCATTCGGGTATGTCCACCGCCACGTGGCTGCCGGCGCCAAAGAGCCCGACGACAGGAGCCCCTGCCCGGCCCCTGACCGCGAGCTTGGCGCGGCACCGCCAGCCGGCCGCGGGGCCGGCCGTCACGCGGAACGCGCCCTCGGGAGCGCCAAGGGACTCGAAGAAAGCGGCGGCGCGCGCCGCGGTGGGCGGGGACGCGAGGCCCGAGTTGAGGGTGCAGCCGGCGCAGGCGCCAAAGTGGGTGCAGCCGAGCTCGTCGGGGCCCGCGGCGGCGGCGCCGCCGCCCAGGAGGCGGCGCGTGTGCGACGCAGACGGTTGCTGCTGCTCCTGCTGCTGATGCTGCTGCTGCTGCTGCAGCCGCGGCGGCGGCGGCTTCTGACTCTGCCGCCGCTGACGTCTAGGGCTCTGCGGCTCCGCAGCTTGCTCGTTGTGGTGCAACCGGCGCTCGCTCTGCCCGTGCAGCAATCCGGTTTGGAGCTCAATGGATGCCCCCCTGGACCGTCGCCGGCGGCGGCTTGGGCCCACCTGGCCCTCAGAGTGTGCCGCATGCACCGCATGGATCACAGACAATCGCCTTGGAGGGGTGCGGTGCCTAGCCAGGCATCCACATCCGCCGCTCGCAGCACGTAGTGGGAGCAGCAGCAGCGGCAAACGCAGCGGGTGCTGCGGCAATGGCGCACACACTGGTCTACCTCCTGCGTCAGCAAGCATTGGTCGCGACGAGACTTATAGGACGATGTCGCAGTATTGTTGCAGATCTGTTAGAAGTTTACTACAAAGCAAGACAATAACACTGACACAATCGGAGTCTCGCGCCCTCTTCATGATACGTATTTATATGCAGACGACAATCAGTAAAAGAAGGGATTGCTGCAGCATGGTTCCACATCGCGGTAGCAAATGCGGGTGGGCGGCGGCAGCCACCGCCCCTCATGTGCTCTGCATGTGCCCTGCTGGCGGCCTGCACGACCCCGGCAGATGGCCGGTGTAGGCAATTGTCACGCCCCTCACTCGCCCCTGTGATTGCGTCACCGGCCTCTTTGCCAACCTTTAGTGTGCATGCACAAGCGCCAAGCGAGTACATAGTGCGATCCACCAAAGGTGCTGAATGGTGATCCTGCTGGTGGTTGAGGGCGCCAGCATGCTGCGCTAGATGGTCGCCGCGTCGCGGGTTTTAGGACGTGCACAACTCGCGCAGGCGCAGCCAATTAAGCAATCAATCCAGTCTCTGCTTGGTGGCAGCTGACCGCTTACTGGCTTCTCCGCCTCGCACACAATTGCAAGAGCTGAGTGGCCGCCCGCTCCCGCTTGGCGCGTGCTGCATACGGGAAACAGGGCCCTAGCGCTCCTGGCCGCATGGTGCGATCCTGAAAGCTGGGAGGCACAACCCAGAAAGGGCCAGACAGCGAGCTGCACCTTGAGCCCCTTGCAGCCCTCTTGGTTGTGACACCTGCTCACGGCTCCAGGGTTGGCCCCTGCGACGCCTTGCAGCCGAGCGGGAATTCGCAGCTGGTGAGGCAGCAAATGGCAAAGGCTGATTCTTGCCTGTCATGCGTCGGCAGCCAGGGTTGCTTCATCCCTGGGAGTCGGACGAGTACACCACTCCTGTTGTTGTGGGTTGGTTTACCGTGTTACGACTGTGCACCATTGGTACCAGAATACCGCTTATATGTGCAAAACAGCTCGATTAAGTGTTGGAGGGGGTTGTTGGGCTGCTATGAGTGTGGTCAAGGGGCTCTGTAGCCTCAATAGCAAGCACAGGGCAAGCAAAGCATGCTTTGACCAACACTGTACACAGCAGACTTGGTGGTGGCATATCGGACGTTGTGAGGTTTGATAGGGTTTGATGGGAACGCCCTATCAAACCTCACAAGTGCTCATGCGAGTGCTTGAGAAGGGGATCACCTGGGCGGACACACCCACGAGCGGCAGCTGCGCTTAGTCATGCTGTCGGAACATCGCAGAGCATCGTGCGGCGAAATCGTGTGCGTCTTGCCGAACATATCTTTGTCACCGGATTCGTGGTATTATACCCGCATTGCAAGAAACATCTCAAAGCACGTGCTGGCTGGGACAGAAGTGATCTAGGTTTGCTTTTCGCAGCACGGCAGCGCGAGGAGGACGGCGCAGGATGTTACTGAAGCATTCAACAGGCGTTGTGGCCACTCCTGCAGGGATACAGCGGGTGGGTGGGCGATCTTTGTATCTCAAAGCGACCTACTTTCTTGTTCAATGGCACACGGGCTCGCATGGCCGTGGAGGCACTCAAAACACACTAATATGCGGCCGCAGGCGGCTATCCCTCATGCGCGACGCTCGAGGACGGCGCCCTGCGTCACTGTGCGCAGCGCTGCCAAGGATCAGCAGCACCCACGCGGAGCTGCGAGCGGCGACGCCCGGGGCGCGCGCGCCGTCGCGCGTAGCACGACCAAGGAGGCCCTCGCGGCCGAGGCAGCGGCTGCCCCCCAAAAGCCAGCATACATTGTCGCGGCAGGCAAGCGGAGGCAGAAGAGTCAGGGTGCTGCAACAGTATCCACATCCCATCCCGGAGTCAGCCACACCGATTGTGCTTTGGCAGTAAATTATTTTTCCGGCCCGCAACTGGATGGGGACACCTCTTTTTCACACTCCTGATCACCAGCCCATATAAACCCCAGCCCAGCAACACCCTGGCCTGGCACCCCTGCACCCCGCCCGCTCCCCCCCCCCCTCCCCCTCCCCTCAGGCACCCCGGAACCCCTGGGTCCAAGCAAGCAGGGCGCCGGCGTCAACTTTGCCGTTTTCTCGGGCGGCGCGACGTCCGTGGCGCTGGTGCTGCATGATGCAGAGTCGGGCGCAGATCAGGAGGTGCCAATGAACAAGACAGGTGGGTGTGCATGTATGAATATGTACACATTTGTATGAGTATTTATGTAGTTCGTATACATGTATGTTGGTGCACGCAGATATTGTGTCTATGAAACTGACAGTGTGTCCACGTAAACACATGCGTGTTGCGTGTGTTATGTTGTGTGCTTGCACTACCCCTCCAGCAGCTGTAAGACGCGCCGGGACAGCACCGTGCCGAGACGGCGCCGCTCTTGCAGCCCCCCGGCGCGGCAGCTTGCACGCGGTCTCAAATAGAGCCCTCCCAGCGCCATGGGCGGCGGCCATTAAACCCCGTCGCGGCCTGTTTTGCTGTTAGTCACTTAGGCCTAGGCCTTGCGCCCCGTTTGAGGCCCCGCCCCCCCACCCCTCTGTTCCCCTGCGGCAGGCGACGTGTGGCACGTGGCGCTGGAGGGCCTGCCGGGCAGCGGGGTGCTGTATGGCTACAGAGTGCTGGGGCAGGGCGGGTGGGACACAGGGTACAGGTGGGCTGCGATGGGGCGGGGGGGGGGGGGGTTAGGGGGCCGGACCCCTGGAGGTGGCCCCCAGGGGGTCTGATGACAGCAGGGGCGGGAGGCTGGGACGGGCGCGGGGAGCCCGGGCGGCTTTCAAGACCGACTGTAGGCGTGCGCGTCGGAGGCAGGGGTGTGGCCGCGTGAGGCAGGGGGCGGCTTGCCTGCAGCAACCCCCTCCCCCCGGGCGCTGGTGTGCGCATCGGTGGCATTCCAGGGCGATGGGGGCCGCACGGCTGCTGGCAGTAGCGGGCGTCGTCATGTCGCCGCATGCCCTTGCTGGCCCCGTCCTGCCCCCTCCACCCCGCCCGGGGCTCCTCTGGGTCGCCTCTGGCCGCACGCCACGCGCGTGCCCCATCATTTAGGGCGCCCTCGCCGCGGGCGGAGGCACATCCTTTTGGATGCCAGAAAAATGGACGTTTGGAAAACAGCCACTGAACCAGCTTCCAGCTTTGTTGTTCAATTTGCCGTCAAGGCACACACACACACACACACACACACACAGACACACACACACACACACACTCACACACACACAAATACACACAGCCCCATCATCTCATCCTCACATCCCGCGCACCACCCCACCTCGCCGTAAACCCTGGAACCTACACCCTGGCTCAGGTGGGACTCTAAGAGCATACTGCTTGACCCCCGGGCGCCCCTGGTGGCGGGCCGCGACAAGTGGGGGGTGCGGGAGCCACTAGAGCGGTTCGAGCTCAACGTGAGTCTTCCAGTCGTGCCTGCCAGGCCGCGGCCCGTGTGGGGGCGGCCGGGGGTAGGGGCCTGCCTGCTGTGGCTGCGGGAGGCCTCGCTCAATAATGAAATAAGGGCCCTGGCGTGTGCGGGCTGCCGCGATGAGTGAAATACGTGGCCTCTGCTGTGAGGAATGGAGATGTTTTTGGATCGCGGCAGCAAGGGACGCACTGGGATTTGACTGACGGTCGAATCGTAGGAGCGATCGCAAACCCAGGGAGAGCCTGCGATGCCACGCTTCGAATCCCCCTCCTGCAACGCCTACCCCGCCTGCCATCTTGGCAACTTGACCTGAAACCTATTGCCCTTGTCATGCGTGCCCGCCCGCCGCGGCGGCCGTCCCTGGAAACCCCTCCCGCAGCGCGGCAGTCAGTGGTGGGGCACGTTTGACTTTGACTCGCCGCCCTTTGACTGGGGCGCGGACTACCAGCGGCCGGCCACGCACCTGAAGGACCTCGTGATCTACGAGATGGCGGTGCGCAGCTTCACGGCAGCTGCGAGCAGCGGCGTGGCGGAGGAGCGGCGGGGGACGTACCTGGGGCTGGTGGACAAGGTGAGGCCTGGCCGCGGCCGGGGGGGGGGGGGGTGGACATGACAAACACCTGTGTGTTTGTGTGTGTGTCTGTTTGTCTGTGTGTCTGTCTGTGTATGTACGTGTGCGTTTGTATTGGACTGTGTGTGTTTGCATGCACCCCTTTTGCAAGCTTGATAGTTGTCACTGGTTTGAAGCCGCGTATGCTGGAACTTATCACTCTCGCAACCTAGGAAAACCCCAGTCCCCCCCTCCCC